GATTACAGGCGTGAGCCACCGTGTCCCATTGGCCTGGCCTTGCTAGGGAACAACAGCCCCTGCCTCTGCTGGTGCTTTCCTCGAGCCTCACTTGGTCATAGGTTGTCATCCTTGGTGGCAGAGGCATGCCTGCTGCACACTCTGATGTGAATGAATGAAGTAAGGAAGGAACCAATGCCCATGCCTGGGAAGGCTGGGTTGCTCCAGCTGTGTCACCAGGGGTGGGAAGGGCTGGCCAGGCAGGCAGCGTATGATGGTGCTCCCGGCAGACAGGTGGATAGGCTGGGATGGGGTGAGTGGGGATGGGCAGGAGCCCCAGGACCCCAAGGGTGCTGTGAGCTGGGAGGGTGTGGACAGAGCTCTGGGGGTTGGGGGTGTGGATGGAGCCCTGAGGGTGGATGGAGCTCTTCGTGGCATGTGGCTGGAGCTGGGATGGGGGCGATTTGTGACAGAGTCTGGGGGGTGTAGACGGAGCTCTGGTGGGGTTGTAGATAGAGGCTGGGGTGGGGTGGACAGAGTCCGTGGGGGTAATGGATGGAGCCTTGCGGGGAATATGGATGGAGCTCTTGGCGGCGTGTGGATGGAACCCTTCGGGAGTGTACAGAGCCTGGGGGTAGTGTGGATGGAGGTCTTTGTGGGTGGACGGAGTCAGGAGGTGGGGTGGATCGAACTGGCTGGAGGTTGGGGGTGTGGATGGAGCTCTGGGGTGTGGATGGAGCTTGTTGGGGTGGGATGGAGCTCTGGAGGTGGGACGAGCTCTGGGGAGGTGTGGACGGAACCTGTTGGAGTGTGTTGGGGTGGGATTTATTCTGGGGAGGTGTGGACGGAACCTGCTGGAGGTGTTGGGGGTGTGGATGGAGCTCTGAGGGGTGTGGACGAGCCTGGGGGAGGTGTGGACTGAGCTCTGGGGAGGTGTGGGACGGAACTCTGCTGGAGGTGTTGGGGGTGGATGGAGCTCTGGGAGGTGTGGACGACCCTGTTGGAGGTGTTGGGGGTGTGGATGGAGCTCTGGGAGTGTTGATGGAGCTTCCAGAGGTGGATCGAGCCTGCTGCGGTGTGGATGCAGCTTTCTTGGGGTGTGGGGACGGAGCCCCTGTTGGGGGATGTGGATTGGAGCGGCTGTGTGGACTCTGAGCCTGCTGGGGAGCAAGGGTGAGCCTGCTGGGGGTGGACGGAGCTCTTGGTGGGTATGGATGCAGCTCTTGGGGGTGTGGACGGAGCCTGTTGGGATGTGGATTGAGTTATTGGGGGTGTGACTGAGCCTGGGGCATGGATTGAGCTCAAGGGGGTGTGGAGGAGCTCTGTGTGGGGGTGTGGAAGGAGCCTGTTGGGGGTGTGGATGGAGCCTGTGTGGGGGTGTGATGGAGCTCTGTGTGGGGGTGTGATGGAGCCTGTGTGGGGGTGTGGATGGAGCCTGTTGGGGGGGTGTGGACGGAGCTCTGTGTGGGGGTGTGGATGGAGCTCTGTGTGGGGGTGTGGATGGAGCCTGTTGGGGGGTGTGGAGGAGCTCTGTGTGGGGGTGTGGATGGAGCCTGTTGGGGGTGATGAGCTCAGGTGTGTGACGGAGCTCTGTGTGGGGGGTGTGGATGGAGCCTGTTGGGGGGTGTGGATGGAGCTCTGTGTGGGGGTGTGATGGAGCCTCTCTGTGTGGGGTGTGGATTTGAGCCTGTTGGGGTGGATGGAGCCTGTTGGGGGGTGGACGGAGCTCTGTGTGGGGTGTGGACGGAGTTTGTGTGGGGGTGTGGACGGAGCCTGTTGGGGGGTGTGGATGAGCCTGTGGGGGTGTGGATGAGCTCTGTGCTGTGACTATCTGCTGGGGGTGTGATGGAGCCTGTTGGGGGTAGTGTGGACGAGCTCTGTGTGGGGACGGAGCTCGTGTGGGGGTGGATGAGCCTGTTGTGTGGATGAGCTCGTGTGGGGTGTGGATGGAGCCTGTTGGGGGTGGATGGAGCTCAGTGGGGGTGTGGATGGAGCCCTGTGGGGGGGTGTGATGGAGCCTGTTGGGGGTGTGGATGGAGCTCTGTTGGGGGTGTGGACGGAGCTCAGTGGGGGTGGATGGAGCTCCTGTGTGGGGTGTGGATGGAGCCTGTTGGGGGTGTGGATGGAGCCTGTTGGGGTGGGATGGAGCTTCTGTGTGGGGTGTGATGGAGCCCTGGTTGGGGTGGATGGAGCCTGTTGGGGGTGTGGATGGAGCCTGTGGGGGTGTGGATGGAGCTCTGTGTGGGGTGTGGACGGAGCCTTGTTGGGGGTGGGACGGAGCCTGTTGGGGGTGTGGACGGAGCCTGTTGGGGGGGAGGAGCTCTGTGTGAGGGTGTGGATGGAGCCTGTTGGGGGGGGTGGATGGAGCTCTGTGTGGGGGGTGTGGACGGAGCCTGTTGGGGGTGGACGGAGCTTCCAGGTGGGGGTGTGGACGAGCTCTGTGTGGGGGTGTGATGGAGCTCGTGTGGGGTGTGGACGGAGCTCTGTGTGGGGTGGGACGGAGCCTGCTGGGGGTGTGGGACGGAGCCTGTTGGGGGTGGATGGAGCTCTGTGTGTGGGTGTGACGGAGCCTGCTGGGGGTGTGGATGGAGCTTCTGTGGGGGTGTGGATGGAGCCTGTTGGGGGTGTGGACTGAGCCTGTGTGGGGGTGGATGGAGCCTCTTGGGGTGTGGATGGAGCTCTGTGGGGTGTGGACGGAGTTTGTGTGGGGTGTGGACGGAGCCTGTTGGGGGTGTGGATGAGCCTAAAAGTGGGGGTGTGGATGGAGCCTGTTGGGGGTGTGGACGAGCTCTGTGTGGGGGTGTGGATGAGTCAGGGGGTGTGGACGGAGTTTGTGTGGGGGTGTGGACGGAGTCGTGTGGGGGTGGACGGAGCCTGTTGGGGTGGACGAGCCTGCCAGTGGACGGAGCTCGTGTGGGGGTGGACGGAGCCTGTTGGGGGGTGTGGATGGAGCCTGGTTGGGGGCATGGACGGAGCCTGCTGGGGGTGGACGGAGCTCTGTGTGGGGTGGATGGAGCCTGTTGGGGGTGGATGGAGCTCTGTGTGGGGTGGACGAGCCTGTTGGGGGTGTGGATGGAGCCTGGGTGGGGGTGTGGACGGAGCCTGGAGGCGTGGATGGAGCCTGGGGGTGGGATGGAGCCTGTTGGGGGTGTGATGGAGCTCTGTGTGGGGGTGTGGACGGAGCCTGTTGGGGGTGGGATGGAGCCTGTTGGGGGTGTGATGGAGCCTGTTGGGGGGTGTGGATGGGAGTTTCTGTGTGGGGGTGTGGATGGAGCTCTGTGTGGGGGGTGTGGATGGAGCCTGTTGGGGGGTGTGGATGGAGCCTGTTGGGGGGTGTGGATGGAGCTCTGTGTGGGGGTGTGGATGGAGCCTTGGGAGGCATGTGGACAGAGCTCTGGGGATCGTCTGGTGCCTGTAGGCAGAGGTTTGCAGACCCTGGTAGCCTCAGAGATGGGCGGGGACTGGGCCCCGTGGCCTGGCAGCACCATGGCGGATGTGGGAAAACAGGTTTAAGGGAGACCTAAGAGGTGGGATTGAGGGCCTGGTGACAGCTTGACGTGGCTAGGGAGGGTTCTAGGAGTGTGTTGGGGATGGCCCCCCACTTCCATCATGTGCTCCCAGCGGCATGAGGCTCCTCAGGCCATCCCTGGGTGTTCTGCCGGCAGGAGCTCAGGAAGGGAGGCCAGGGTTGCACAGCTGTGAGTGAGGCCTAGGTTGGCTGCTGTGTTGGGCCCTAGGTGTCCATATTTGAGGGACAGTCGGAGGTGTGGGGCGGGGGCTAGGTGGGGGTCCTGGAGGCTGGGCTGGGTGTGGCTGGCAGCAGGTTGGTTAGGGGAGGGGCTGGACGTGGAGTGTACTCTTCTGAAACATCTTGGGAGGCCAGGCCTGTCCTTAGCTGGATGGGGCCGAGGCACGGGGGCGGGGGGGGGGGGGGGGCTGGCAGGCGTGGGGTTGGGCCTTGCTGGGGAAGTATGGTTTTCCCCAGCATAGCCAGGCCTTGGAGCTGGGTGGATGGGGGGCGCTGAGGGATGGACTGGCCTGGCCTGCCCGGACACTGCCCGATGCAGCATCCCCTGGGGTGGGAAGCCAGCAGGCCTGGAGGTGGCTCAGCCCCAGCCCCCTCCTGTGGGCCCTACCCAGATGGAGCCAGGGCTGGGCTCAGGGGCCACGGGCACACCAGGGGTGGAGCTGTGGGATTCCTGGGCAGTGAGGGCTGAGAGGCCGTGGCATGTGGGTACCCAGTGCTGGGCAGTACAGGGCATGTCCTGGGGGTCGCACCTGTCCGAGCATGCCTGTGAGTGACAGTCTCCGTGGACTGCACTAGGTGGAGCAGGGGGCCTGCCCTGTGGTCTCTTTGCTTGACTGACAGCATCGGCTGTCACCATGGCTGGGGTACAAGGGCCAGGTGGCCCGGGGGCAGAGCGGGAGTAGTGGCCATGGTCTGAGGCTGTGCTGGGCAGTCCCAGGACCTCTTGGCCTCAGTTTCCCCAACTGTACCGCAGGGGCTTCTCCTGCCTCGTGTCCTGTGTGGGGGTGGAGGTGGGTGTGGGTTTGCCTGTGTGCTATGTACCTGCAGGACCTGAGCTCGGGCCTGTTAGGGACTCTGGCTGGGTGTCCTGTACTTGGCCACCCCGTGCACCTGGTAGAGGCTGCCGGCGTGGCAATGGGGCCCCACATTCTCTCGTGTGGTCACCCCCAGTGAGGCGCCAAGGGGTGTTCCACCGGAAACGCTCAGGTCCCGGCTACCTGTGGGCCCCAGTCTGTGGCCACTCCAGCCAGGCTGCCCCTTGCCCACCTCTCCCCCGGTTGCTCTTCCCGTGCTCCATGCTGACTTGAGCCAGCTCAGGGCAGGCTGGGCCTCTGGCACCCCAGCGGTAGGGAGCCCAGGCCCCTGAGCCCAAATGGCCTGGAGGGGCAGTCTCCCTCCCTTGAGCTGGGTTATTTTGGGGTCTGCAGAGGATGTGGCCTGAGGATGAGGAGGGTGGTGGGTCCTGTGAGGAACTCTAGGAGGGGGTCCCTGGCTGGGGAGGAAAGGCCAGAGCCTGGCAGACCCAGGGGCAGGTTGGAGCCCTGGGCCCTGTCCCACCCTGAATAAAGCAGGCAGGTGTGGCCTCTGGCACCTGACCCACCTCTCCATATCTACAGCGCTCTTTCACCCTCATCGTGGAGGCCTGGGACTGGGACAACGATACCACCCCGAATGGTGAGTGAGCCCTGGGCCAGGTGGCAGCGCCTCTCAGCTTCAGGGCACCTGTGGCGGGGCCCATGTCCTCTGCCTGCTTGAGACAAAGCCTTTCTTTACTCTGAGGATCATGTGTGCTGTTTCCCTTTTTGCTCTGGCTGCCAGGAAGCTCTGCCACGTTTGGGATTTGAAGAGCTGTGCATGCACTCTCTTCCCCAGTCCTGGCTTTGCCTATGTTGTTCTCCTATCGGGTGTGCTCTTTTGGGGCCCACGTCAGTGACTTAGTGGAGGGGACACCCTTGAGTGTCTCTCTGGCTTTGTAGCCCCCTCTACCTGTCTGTACTGGAGCATGGAGCCTTTGTGGCCCTCTCCCTGAGGCCCACCTGCTAGCTGGCTGACCTGGGCAGGGGCTCTGCAGGGCCCCGCAGGGGTAGTGGGGGATGACTTCTATGGGTGGATGCGGAAGTACCCGCAGGCCGAGGGAGCTGCTCATGTGAAGGCTCAGACAGGAGCACGCTTGCTGTGCAGGAGGGGCTGCCGGGGCCGGGCTCAGATCATGGGGGCTGGCACACCACTGAGAAGACACGGGCTCTGTCTGGCAAGCTCTGGCTGCCTTATGGAGGGTGGGCTGTGGGGCCAGGACGGAGACCGAGGAGGAGCTGCGCCATGAATCTGGGCGTGTCAGGGTGACCTGGACCAGGGGCAGTGTGAGGGAGTGAGGGAGACTCTGGCTGCTCTCAGAAGTGGAGACACAGGGTTGGCCAGTGGGTTGGAGGTGGTGAGAGAGCAGGGCCAGGGCATCCTGGCTGCCAGCAGAGTGGAGGGGCTGTTTACAGGGCAGGGATGGTGGCAGGGGTGCCCAGGTGGGGAGTAGCAGCTGTGGGGACCCCAGCGACTCAGGGCAGTGGTGTTCCCTGAGGGGGTGGCAGGGGAACAGTTGGGCTGAGGCCCAAGTAAGGTCGTCAGGGCTCTTGATGACGTGGGCCTGGAGAGGCTGGGGTGGCCGGGAGGCCCCTTGGGGAGTGACCAGCTCGGTGTCTTCCCAGGCCTTGGCCCATGAGGCGGGAGAGCTGGGGTCTGGAGGACCTGTTCACCCTTTATTGTGGAAAACATTGAGCCTGTGCCGAAGCACAGGGACCGGCATCACAGACGTTGCATACCAGCACCAGCAGCTGCAGTGCCCCTGGCCCCTGGTCTCCCATTGTCTTACCTAAAGTGAGGCTTAGCCGGCAGGTCTCAGGACCTGTGCCTGTCTTGGGGGCCTGAGGGGAGGGTTGTTTTAAGGTGGGGACGGTAGCAGTGTTTGGCACTTCTGGGAGCAAGTCACAGCACAGGAAAGGGGAGGGCAACTGAGCGCCATGCCTGTGCTGGTGAGGGCTGGACACGGTGCCCAGCTGTGTGCAGGTGTTGGAGCAGGGCTGTGGGTGGGTGGGCACAGGTGTGGGATACGGGACTCACCCCCTGGCAGCAGTCATGCCTTCTCTGTGGAGCCCGTGGTCTCGGCAGCCCTCCCTGCAGGACGCCCCGCCCCTAACTGGGCCCCCCAGCCCTCTGCGTTTAGGGTGGGAGCAGGAGCGCAGGCTTGGTGGCGGGAGGGATAGGCCTTTCGGGGCCCTGAGCTTTCTGTAGCAGTCTGGCCAGGGGCCCTGCCCTCGGAGTGCTGCTGCCGCCTGCTGTGCCCTGGCCTTGCAGCAGCCGCAGACTTCTGCCCCGTCCCCGTTGTTCCTGGAGGCCACCTGGCTGGGCTGGTGTCTCTGGCCTGTGCTGACTATGCCGCCTCCCCAAGAGGAGCTGCTGATCGAGCGGGTGTCGCATGCTGGCATGATCAACCCGGAGGACCGCTGGAAGAGCCTGCACTTCAGCGGCCACGTGGCGCACCTGGAGCTGCAGATCCGTGTGCGCTGTGACGAGAACTACTACAGCGCCACCTGCAACAAGTTCTGCCGACCCCGCAACGACTTTTTTGGCCACTACACCTGCGACCAGTATGGCAACAAGGCCTGCATGGATGGCTGGATGGGGAAGGAGTGCAAGGAAGGTGAGGGGGCTGCCGGGCCACGTGGAGGGCAGGGAGGGCCTCGGGCAGGGCCCTGGGCACGCGCTTTGCCACCAGGCTGGCTGCAGCTGTGCCTCTCGCTCCTCTCTGTTCGCAGCTGTGTGTAAACAAGGGTGTAATTTGCTCCACGGGGGATGCACCGTGCCTGGGGAGTGCAGGTGAGTGTGCCGCCGGCCCACCTTTGCCCTCGCACCCTTTGCCCTCACATCCTCGCTGGCACACTCGGCCTTGCTCTCAGGAGTCACCCGGCGCTGGCTGGAGGTCGGGTGCGCAGCCTGTGAGAGCCAGGCCGTGTGCTCGGGATGCTCCTTAGTGCAGTACGTGCATGTCTGAGCGTGGGATATGTCTGATGGCGGCAGCCCTGTGAGGATGGTGAGGAGAGATTGGGGAGGCTGGATAGACAGTCACATCACCAAGCGGCAGAGACCTGGAGGCTGCAGGCCACCCGAAGATGGGGCACGGGCAGAGGACACAGTAACCCTGTCCATGTGGAGGGGGTGGGTGGCAAGCGGCCGACAAGTGAGACCAGCAGGCGAGGGGTGGCAGAGCAGACTGGTGGTGGGAGATGAGGCCTGCAGGACCAGGGAGAGAGGAAGGGGCTGCTGGCAGGTTTGTAGCTGGGCAAGGTGGGTGGGAAGGCTGTGGTAGCTGTTGAGTGGGGAAGCACCAGACGGGAGGCTGTGAGAGGCAGGCTGTGAGGAGGAGGCTGCTGTGGGGCATGTGGGGGTTCGGGGGGAGGGGCCAGCGGAAGGTGGAGAGGGGCACAGGTCCTGCAGGCATCCTGGGTTGGAGCCCAGGGGTTTGTGGATAGATTTGATCAAGGAGGAAGAGTCTGGGGTCAGGAAGAACCCCGAGCCGCTGCATAGTGGAGCCATCACGACTGAAGGAGGACTGCCACAGAGGAGCAGGCAGGGCAGAGGTTAGGTGGATATGGAGAGGCGATGCCTGCCCTGTCCCGGAGATACCCAGAAAGCTCGTGGGAGAGGCCTGGCCTCAGCCCCGCGGGGCCTGTGGGGGGCCTGTGGCATTCAGGCAGTGTTGAAAGCCCAGACAGCAAAGGGGGAAAGACGGAGAGGAGAGAGGCCAAGAAGCGAGTCCCAGCTGCCGCAGGTCAGGGCAGGTGGATGAGGAGCCAGCAAGGGCCTCCACGAGGGAGTGGCTGGGGCCCTGCAGCCAAGTCCAGACAGTGGAGGCCTCTGGACCCGGACCAGGGTGTGGGGGAATCCAGCCGGGGGACTGGCAGCTTTGCCCTAGAGTGGAGCAGAGAAGTCGCAGGGGGGAACCAGAGGGGCTGGGGCCCAGGGTCTGGGGTGGGCATGGGCTTCGAGCTGTGGTGCTTACTGTACGTGAGCAAGCTGGGGAGCCCGAGAGAGGGGCGCAAGTGGGTGGAGAGACAGCAGGTGGAGGTGAGTACCACCGTCCAGCCAGCCTTGGATTTCAGGGGTCCCGGAACCTCCCTCTGAGGAGTGGGTTTGCCTCCGTGGGACAAGGACCCTGGGGCACAGTGAGGCTGAATGATTTCCCCAGGATCACACAGCATGGCGTTTTGGAGAGGAGTGGGGGTTTGGGAACCAGCTGAGTTGGGAGCCAAGGTGGGGAGGTGGGTGACCCTTCCACAGGTCCCATGGCTGAGTGGCCTGGAGGGCTGTGAGAAGCTTTCTTGGCCGGTCCCAGAGCAGGGAGGCAAGGAGGGCTGGGGTCGCCCACCTGGTCACTTGCACACGCAGGGATTCCCGGCAGGTTGAGTCTCAGAAAGTGCAACAGGGTGGGCCTGGTCTGGGCAGATGTAGATGTAGGCCCACGGGATTCGGCCCTGCTCACCCTCGCCTGGCCCAGCGTGCATCACACAACCTGGATGGCAGTGCCACCCTCCCTGGATGGCTGCTGGCTGGCAGCCGCAATGTCCTACCAAGGCTGGAGGAAGGCGGTAGGGAAGCTGGCCATCCCTGCCCTTTCCCCGCAGGAAGATGAGGAGACGGAGTCCGGGGGGCCTGGTGGGTGGGGGCAGTAGGTGAGCCCCGCCTGCCCCTCTTGCTGGCCCTGTGGGGGAGGCCCAGCTGTTGCTGACAGCCTCGGCTCAGGTTCCAGTGCAGGACACCCCCCCCCGCCACCGGATGCTGCGGAGATGGCCATGCCTTCCTGCTGCCGCCTCTCCAGGGCCCTGGGGCTGCTGGCTGGGGAAACTAGGAGGTGGGGGCCTGGCGTGGGCTGCCCCGCCCAGGGTTGAGAGCACGCCCTTGGGACCCACGAGGTCTGGGCTCTGAGCCCGGCTGTGGCGCTCCCTGGCGGATGACCCAAGGTGTGTCACAGCCCCACCCTGAGCCTGGGTCTCTATGTCCATGGAGGAGGAATTCCAGGCAGGACGCGAGGCCACCCGCATGGGCCACTGTGCGTGCTGGGCTGTTACCATGCTGGGCTGGATGCTGGAGACACGTTCTCCCCAGCCTCAGTTTCCCCATTTTTGGCAGCTGAACTGGGCTGATAGGCCTTCGGTGCTGGCTGTGTGGCTTGAGGGCGGCTCAGGAAGGGCCGTGGTTCTTTCCTTTTACGAAAATAAAGTGTTGCGGGTGCCGGTGTGGAAGTGACGTGGCCTGGACGACATTCCCATCCTGCAGGACCGGAGAGTTCTAGGAAGGGCCCCCCGGGAGTCCCGGCAGGGCCTGGATGGCAGCCCGCTGGGCCTTGGGGTGTCGTCATTGCAGGCTCTCTCCCCTGACGGAGGCACCCTTGAGTCAGGCCAAGTTCTCCCCTGGCCACCTGCCCTCTTCTGGAGGACTCCCAAGACGGGACGTTGGCCGATAGCCTGGAGCAGGGTGAGGCCTGGGGGTTGTGGCCGGGGGGCCACGAGGCCTCTCGTTTCCAGGGTGCAGGTGGAGCTCCTGCAGGGTCAGGAACTGCCCTGAGCGGGGCCAGCCCAGGCTAGCCTGTGGGCCTCAGTAGCCCCATCTATGAGATGGGTACCTTGTGGGACTTGACTGGGAGCGAGCGAAATGACTGTCTTTGAGGTGGGGGTGAGGGTATGTGCTGTGCCCAGGGCCACATGGCCGAGGCAGGGCCAGGAGTGCTCCCCTGCTGCCCGCTGGCCTGCCCAGCCCCTGGTGCCACCCAGCCCTTGCAGCACGTGGTGAGTCTGAGCCGGCATTCTCATCCCCGGGCTCCCGGCAGGGCCTTCCTTTCCTGGCGCCTGCTCTCGGGGCCCAGCTCACGGGTGAGTCCCAAAATAGCTCAGGGAGGAGTGACGGGACAGCTGGGGCTGACCGTCGGCAGCCAGCGGCCGGGAATGCCCGTGACAGTGGGGCTGGCCTGCGAGGCCGCAACCCCTGCCCGGCTCGGGCTGCTCCAGTTCAAAGGCCTGAGGCGCCGGTCCTGGGTGTGGCTTGGGTGACTGTGCCTGGCTTCTCTGCCACCCTTTCAGGTGCCACAGCTCACTGGGTCTTGCGCCCCTCCGCCTTCCCCCAGGTGCAGCTACGGCTGGCAAGGGAGGTTCTGCGATGAGTGTGTCCCATACCCCGGCTGTGTGCACGGCAGCTGCGTGGAGCCCTGGCAGTGCAACTGTGAGACCAACTGGGGCGGCCTGCTCTGCGACAAAGGTAGTGGTGGGGGGTGGCGGGCCTGATGCTCTACCTTCGAAGGGTGGGTTGTCGGGGAGTGGGGGGCCTGCTTTTCCCCTGAGCATCCCACCCCTGCCCCCAGACCTGAACTACTGTGGCAGCCACCACCCGTGCACCAACGGAGGCACGTGCATCAACGCTGAGCCCGACCAGTACCGCTGCACCTGCCCCGATGGCTACTCAGGCAGGAACTGTGAGAAGGGTACGTGGGGGGCCTGCTGCCCAGGTTCTGGCCAGGCAGGGACTGGTTCCCTTGGGAGCTGGTCAGGCCCCATCCCTCTGGCCTCTTGTGTGGTGGGCCCCTGACCCCCAGCTTCGGAACCTGTGGGCTTGGGGAGGCGTGCCTGTGGCAAGCTGGGGGCCTCGCTGCCAGCTCTGCCCCTCCCTGTGGTTCTGCAGCTGAGCATGCCTGCACCTCCAACCCATGTGCCAACGGGGGCTCTTGCCATGAGGTGCCGTCCGGCTTCGAATGCCACTGCCCATCGGGCTGGAGCGGGCCCACCTGTGCCCTTGGTGAGTGTCTGCACGTGAGTGGGGGACTCCCGCCTGGCATCAATGGGGGTCTGGGAGTGGGGCAACTCGCTGGGGATGGGGTGCAGTGGTCAAGTCCACACGTGTGGCTGCGGCTGGCTTGGCGAGGACAAGGGGCAGGAAGACCCAGGCTTGCGGCCCCACCTTATCCCCACCATGGGGACCTTATCCCCACGGCTCACACTGCCAGGGCCCCACCTTTCTCCATCCTCTGCAGACATCGATGAGTGTGCCTCAAACCCGTGTGCGGCCGGTGGTACCTGTGTGGACCAGGTGGACGGCTTCGAGTGCATCTGCCCCGAGCAGTGGGTGGGGGCTACCTGCCAGCTGGGTAAGGGTTCCGAGTGTGTGCACAGGAACGTGGGCCACGCATGCAGGCTGCTGGGGCTGCTGCTGGAGCTGCTGGGCTGCGGGCGCAGGTGCCGGTGCTGCAGGGCAGGCAGGGCCCGAGCCCCACAGCTCCCCCTTGTCTCTTTCACAGACGCCAATGAGTGTGAAGGGAAGCCGTGCCTTAACGCTTTTTCTTGCAAAAACCTGATTGGCGGCTATTACTGTGATTGCATCCCGGGCTGGAAGGGCATCAACTGCCACATCAGTCAGTATGGGGGGTGGGTGCCGGCGGGTGGGCCGAGGCACATGGGACCCCGCCTCTGACCCTGCTCCTCTGCCCCCAGACGTCAACGACTGTCGTGGGCAGTGTCAGCACGGGGGCACCTGCAAGGTGAGGCGGGGCCGGGAGGGGGTGTGGCGTGGGTGCTGCGGGGCCGTCAGGGCACCTGCGGGAGGCTCACCTGGCTGGCCCGCCCAGGACCTGGTGAACGGGTACCAGTGCGTGTGCCCACGGGGCTTCGGAGGCCGGCACTGCGAGCTGGAACGAGACGAGTGTGCCAGCAGCCCCTGCCACAGCGGCGGCCTCTGTGAGGACCTGGCCGACGGCTTCCGCTGCCACTGCCCCCAGGGCTTCTCCGGGCCTCTCTGTGAGGTGAGGTCTGCCTGGCCACCCTGCCCCACCTGCTGCTTTAGGAGCTGTAGGGCAGGCCTCGGCCCCGACCATGGGGCCTGAGTGACCCGGGAGTGCCGCACGGGGAGTTGTCCCCATGGCATCCCAGGCTCAGCCCTCCCCTGGGTGCCGGGTGGGCAGGTGGGGCTGTCACAGGTCACCAGGCTTAGCCCCTTGTGGCCCTCGCTTGTGATGGGTCTCCTGGTGGCCTGGGCTAGGAACCCCCGGGCTGCTGCCTGCCCAGGCCCATCTGTCCAACTGTGCGCTCCCTCGGGACTGGAGGGCAGGGGGCTCTGGTGGGCAGAGTATGTGGAGTAGGGTGGATGCCTGATGGTGGACGGGCATACACCTGTCATGGGTGAGTCCTGGGTCGGAGTGGGCGTCTCTCTCGGGGCTGATGCTCTCGCCTCCCTCTGACCATCTTTTGGTGCTGGACCCCCTCCGCCAACCTCCCCTTTCCCCGTGCCTCTAAAATAACCTGCCTCCCTACCACCCCTGCCCCACCTCCCCCACCCCTGCCTCCCTGTTACCTGCCTCCCTACCACCCCTGCCCCACCTCCCCCAACCCTGCCTCCCATTCACCTGCCTCCCTACCACCCTGCCCCACCTCCCCACCCCTGCCTCCTACCACCCCCTGCCCCACCTCCCCCACCCCTGCCTCCCTACCACCCCTGCCCCACCTCCCCCCACCCCTGCCTCCTACACCACCCCTGCCCCACCTCCCCCCACCCCTGCCTCCTGTGCCTGCCTCCTACCACCCCTGCCCCACCTCCCCCAACCCCTGCCTCCCGTTCTGCCTCCTACTGCCCCTGCCCCACCTCCCACCCCAGCCACACCCTCCCTGCCACCCCTGCCCCACCTCCCCCCACCCTGCCTCCCTACCACCCCTGCCCCCTCCCCTGCCTCCCTACCACCCCTGCCCCACCTCCCCCACCCCTGCCTCCCCTACCACCCCTGCCCCCACCCCTCCCCCACCCCTGCCTCCCCGTTACCTGCCTCCCTACCACCCCCTGCCCCACCTCCCCCACCCCTGCCTCCCTACCACCCCTGCCCCACCTCCCCCACCCCTGCCTCCCCGTTACCTGCCTCCCTACCACCCCTGCCCCACCTCCCCCACCCCTGCCTCCCTACCACCCCTGCCCCACCTCCCCCACCCCCTGCCTCCCCGTTACCTGCCTCCTACCACCCCTGCCCCCTCCCCACCCCTGCCTCCCTACCACCCCTGCCCCACCTCCCCCACCTGCCTCCCTACCACCCTGCCCCACACCTCCGCCACCCCTGCCTCCCTGTTACCTGCCTCCCTACCACCCCTGCCCCACCTCCCCCAACCCTGCCTCAGTTCTGCCTCCCTACCACCCCTGCCCCACCTCCCCCACCCCTGCCTCCCTGTTACCTGCCTCCCTACCACCCCTGCCCCACCTCCCCCAACCCTGCCTCCGTTACCTGCCTCCCTGTTACCTGCCTTCCTACCACCCCCTACCCTACCTCCCCCACCCCTTACCTCCCCTTTTTCCCTGCCTCCCCCCACCCACCTCCCTACCACCGTCGGCCGCCCTCGATCCTGCCCTGGTCTTGGTGCAGAGGGTGGGGCCTCCAGTGCAGGGGATGGGACTCCTGTCCAGAGGGCTTCTAAGAGCCCAGGGCAGGGGTCTGACCTCAGAACCTGCAAGCATGGCAGTGGCTGGCCCTGGAAAAGACCCACAGTCTCTGAGGGTGGCCAGGCAGTGTGTGAGGTACTCAGGAGCTGTCCTTCCTGCCAGCAGCAGGGGCCAAGGCCACATCCCTCCCGAGGGACGCTGAGGAAGCTGGGCTGCAGCGGAGGTGGGGGTAGGGGCCCACAGGTATCTGCGTTCAGCTGACAAGGCCTGGGCAGTCTCAGGTGGGCAGGGGTCTTGGACTCTGGCTGGCACTGCCAGGCCCAGGGCAGAGGGGCCTGGGGGTTCCCAGGGATCTGCCTTCATGTGGACAGAGGCCTGGCCTGGGCTCTCACAGGCACCCCCGACCCTGCAGGTGGATGTCGACCTTTGTGAGCCGAGCCCCTGCCGGAACGGCGCTCGCTGCTATAACCTAGAGAGTGACTATTACTGCGCCTGCCCTGATGACTTTGGTGGCAAGAACTGCTCCGTGCCCCGCGAGCCATGCCCTGGCGGGGCCTGCAGAGGTGCTGGGTGCGGCGTGGGGTGGTGGGGGAGATGGTGGGCAAGGGCGGGCCTGACTCCTGACCATACTGCCTGCCATAGTGATCGACGGCTGCGGGGCGGATGCAGGGCCTGGGGCGCCTGGCGCAGCAGCCTCTGGCGTGTGTGGCCCCCATGGACACTGCGTCAGCCAGCCAGGGGGCAACTTTTCCTGCGTCTGTGACAGTGGCTTTACTGGCACCTACTGCCATGAGAGTGAGTGGCCGTGAACAGCGGGCTGGCGGTGGGGCTGGGCTGGCCTGAGGCCCTGGCTCACCCTGCTTGCTTCTGCAGACATTGATGACTGCCTGGGCCAGCCCTGCCGCAATGGGGGCACGTGCATCGACGAGGTGGACGCCTTCCGCTGCTTCTGCCCCAGCGGCTGGGAGGGCGAGCTCTGCGACACCAGTGAGTGTTCCAGCGCCCGCCCACGCGGCCTGTGCCTCCACCCCTGTGGGCCCCTCATCACCCTGAGGTGGGCTACTGTCTGGGTGCCGCAGGCCCAGTACCCGGAAGGGCCTGGCCAGAGGGTGCTGCCACCACGGGGTGGAATCTCAGGCTGCCCCCACGCCTGGGGCCGGCTCCCTGCCACGATGCTCCTTCCCTGCCCCTCTCTGTCCTCCCTTGGCCCAGCTCCAGGGCTTCTTCCCCCGGGAAGCCCTCCCTGAGCGCCGGTGACCCCCCGCCTGCTGACCGGCGTCCTCGCCCCCAGATCCCAACGACTGCCTTCCCGATCCCTGCCACAGCCGCGGCCGCTGCTACGACCTGGTCAACGACTTCTACTGTGCGTGCGACGACGGCTGGAAAGGCAAGACCTGCCACTCACGTGAGTGCCCGCAGGCCCCGGCCGCCGACCCTGGCCCTGGCGGTCTGGGGCCCGCCTGCTGAGCGGCCCATGTGCCCACAGGCGAGTTCCAGTGCGACACGTACACCTGCAGCAACGGTGGGACCTGCTATGACAGCGGGGACACCTTCCGCTGTGCCTGCCCCCCCGGCTGGAAGGGCAGCACCTGCGCCGTTGGTGAGGAGCCCCCGACGCCCCTGTGACCACCGGGCATGGGCCCTCCCCAGCGCCGCTCCCTCGGCCGTGGTGGGCGGAGGGGTCTTTTTTGAGGGCCGCACCTGCCCCTCGCCCCGGGTCTGTCTGCCCTGTCTGGGTTGGGGACGTGGTATGGAGACCCAGGGCCTGTGCAGGACCAGGTGAGAAGCTCCCTCCTCCTCTCCTTACAGCCAAGAACAGCAGCTGCCTGCCCAACCCCTGTGTGAACGGGGGCACCTGCGTGGGCAGCGGCGCCTCCTTCTCCTGTATCTGCCGGGACGGCTGGGAGGGCCGCACTTGCACGCACAGTGAGCATGGGAGGGACATCCACAGACGACATCCCTGTCCCCGACTCTCCCCCTATCCCCTTCTGCCAGCCCCTCCCCTGGCTGCCCCTGCCCCCAGCAAAAGGCACCCTCCTTGATGCCCTCCCCAGCCCCACAGCCTGATCACGCCGAGCCAGCCTGGACCGTGCCTGGCACGCTTAGGGGGTGGGTACTGATCCCCTGCCTTCTCCTTCTTCTCCCAAACCAGATACCAACGACTGCAACCCTCTGCCTTGGTGAGTGGCACCCGGGGGCCGCAGCAGGGGTGGGTGGGACTTGGCATACCGCGGGGGGCTGCCTGATGCCCACCCTCTGCTCTGCAGCTACAACGGTGGCATCTGTGTTGACGGCGTCAACTGGTTCCGCTGCGAGTGTGCGGCTGGCTTCGCGGGACCCGACTGCCGCATCAGTGAGTGGCCTGGGATGACAGACAGCCCCAGCCCGGGAGCCCTTCCAGCCCAGCCGAGGTGTCAGGAGTCTGGGGACATCAACGTCCACATCCCTTGAAGGGCAGTGTGGCCACAGCCACTTCCTGCCTCTCTCTGAGCCTCAGTTTCCCCACATGACTGTGCCCTGTGGGGTTCCTGCGGTGTACCCTGCCAAGTGACTGGGGGGGGTGCCAGCCCGGGGGACCAGACCAAGGCCAAGGGAGCTGTGGGGGTTGGAGCATGCAGCTTGACATGGGCTCCTCTGTGGCTGCAGGGCTGTTGTCCCTGGGTGTCGGCCCAGGTGTCTGTCCAGCACCCCTTGGCTGGTCCAACGCAGCAGGTGGGGCTAACCCAGGATGGGACAGGCCCACTGCAGAAGCAGATGGAGGAGGGTGCTATTGGGCCAGGGTCAGGCTGGGCTCAGGAAGGCCTCGGGCAGGCGGCAGCTTGAGTGCTGGGGCAGGTGGGACCTGCAGAGCTGGCAAGGCCTGTGTGCTGGCCTAGGGGCTGCTTCTCATCGGCCTGGGGCTTTCGCCCGTGTGCCACTGGCTCCCCGCTGCCCTAGGCCATGCCGGTCCTGTGGTGGCCATTCACCGTGCTCAGCAGCAGCCGCTCTCCCCGCAGACATTGACGAATGCCAGTCCTCGCCCTGCGCCTACGGGGCCACGTGTGTGGATGAGATCAACGGGTATCGCTGTAGCTGCCCCCCTGGCCGAGCTGGCCCCCGGTGCCAGGAAGGTAGGCCCCGTGTGATTGCCCTGGCCTGGGGCGGGTTGGGGGCCATGGGTGAGACCCAGCCCCGAGGGCCAAATGCACACTGCTGACCCTCGAGCCCCTTCTCCCCACAGTGATCGGGTTCGGGAGGTCCTGCTGGTCCCGGGGCACTCCGTTCCCGCACGGAAGCTCCTGGGTGGAAGACTGCAACAGCTGCCGCTGCCTAGATGGCCGCCGTGACTGCAGCAAGGTGCGGGCTGCCCGTGAGCCTCCCTGCCCTCCCCGAGGCTGGTGCACGCTGACCCTGACCACTCTGTGAGATCAGGAGGCGGGTGCTGGGGTCAGGATGGGCTGAGAGCAGTCTGCCCCCACTTGAGGGACACCCAGGGAGGAGGGAGCTCAGCCAGGCCCCATGCTTCAATGTACAGTTGGGAAAACTGAGGCCTGGTCTGGGTCCTGCCTTGCTCCGCCTGCCCTTTTTGGTGTTGAGCTCGGCCTGCCTCCCTGGGAGCCCTGGGTGGGGCGTGGGCTGGGACTCACAGACCTGGGCGGTGTCCCTCCCTGGCATGGGGTCTGTGCCTGCCTGTGGGTCCTCATCTGTGTGCCTGCATCTGACCCGCCTGTGCGTAACTGCCCAGGTGTGGTGCGGGTGGAAGCCTTGTCTGCTGGTCGGCCAGCCCGAGGCCCTGAGCGCCCAGTGCCCGCCGGGGCAAAGGTGCCTGGAGAAGGCCCCAGGCCAGTGTCTGCGACCACCCTGTGAGGACTGGGGGGAGTGCGGCACAGAAGAGCCACCGAGCACCCCCTGCCTGCCGCGCTCCGGCCACCTGGACAATAACTGCGCCCGCCTCACCTTGCGTTTCAACCGTGACCATGTGCCCCAGGTGAGGGGCCTGGTGGCATCTGAGCTTGCAGAGGCCACACGCCGGCATCTGCTTGTGGCATGGCCAAAGCCTAGCCCCGTGGGGCAGGGAGGCCCTGGTTGGCTGAGCAGAGTCACTCTTGGTCACAGAGAGTGGCCCTGTGGGGTGAGATGAGAGGGGCATTGGGCCTGGTGCTGGGTGTGGGTGGCAGAGGAGGCCGGGAGAGCAGCCAGCTGGGGGTACCTGTTTGTCCAGCTATCCTGAGGGCCTGCACTGATGGCGCCATGGCTGCCTCACCCCAGCTCTTGGGCTGCAGCTCTGTGGGCAGTTTTGTCCTAGCCAAGGACCCAGCTTTGTCTGCTGTGTGCTTGGAGCTGGGCCCCCGTCTCCCAGGAGGACTCAGAACTGGAGGAGACCCACTGTACCCCGCCCCTGCCTCTCCTCCCCCCACTGCCCTGCAGGTGGAGCTGGCTCTGCCATGAGGGCAGGCGAGTGGGCACTGTCACTCCTGCCTCCTGGTATAGGGCACAGCCGGGTGGGAAGCTGCCCCCACTAGACCCTGGGCATCCCTGCTCTGCTCTCCTGGGCGGGCTATAGGATGTGTCCCGCGTGTACCCAGTGTCAGTCCAGGGACGTAGCTGTCAGGTTCACGGCCCTGCCCTGCCCATGCACTGCCTGTCTCTGCCCAGGGCACCACGGTGGGCGCCATTTGCTCTGGGATCCGCTCCCTGCCAGCTACGAGGGCTGTGGCACGGGACCGCCTGCTGGTGTTGCTCTGCGACCGGGCGTCCTCCGGGGCCAGTGCCGTGGAGGTGGCCATGGTGAGTGTCAGTGGGGAGCAGCACGTGGGTGGGCCCTGGGTCCAGTCCTGTGCAGGTCCTGGCTGTGCTGGGCAGAGGCTCTGGCGAGGCTAGTCATGGTGCGGAGGGACTGCAGGCAGGCATGTCTCCCCAGGCTGGGGCTGCGGCCCCTCACTGCCCATGCTGCAGGCTCATGGAACTACTCCCTGGGCCTGGCCAGCACTGGGGACATGCAGGGCTGTGGTGTGGAGCCCACTTCCCCTGCAGCTGCATCCTCGCCTGGTCCCCTGCTCTGTCTTTGCCTCTGTGTCCCCACGTCACAGGCAGCAGGAGAGTCCGTGGGCTCAGTCTGCCCTGGGAGGCCTGCTTTGGGACTGGCACCTGCCCTGGCCTTGGGGGGTGTCAGATGTGAGTGGATACCAAGGGAGTCGGGTGAGACTGGGGTGGGGATGTGCCTGGAGAGGGGAGGGAATGTTCTGGAACATGATGAGTGTGTGTGCAGAGCAGTGGGTGTGGCCATGGCACAGCGTGGCAGGTGGAGGCCGTGGCCAGGCACAGGAGGGATGTGCAGTGTTTTGGTGCCCTGAGGCTGCAGATGGGGTGGGGGACATGGGTGGGTGCTGCTGGGTGATGGAAGGGCAGTAGGGCAGGGGGAAGATGTGAGAAGTATGCCAGCATGGGCATGGTGCCATCAGGGACGTGGTGGAGGCAGGGGCACAGCCCCGGGTTGCTGTGGCCTCCTGAAGGCACTAGGTTTGTGGTGCCCTTGGGGCGTGGCCCATAGGTGGGGGTGAGGGCTGGGAGCTGACGAGAAGGGATGGCCATCTCGGAGCAGGCGTCAGTGAATGGGGCCACACCCCCCACCGACCCACTGCCTGGTGGTAAGGTCCCCACTGCAGGACTCCAGGCTCTCCTGTGTGCCCGGACGGGGCCACCCTCCACCCCTCCACTTCCCCCCGCCACTACTGCCTGGTGGTGAGGCCCCCACCGCAGGACCCCGGGCTCTCCTGTGCTTCCAAATGGGGCCACCCTCCACCCCTCCAGTCCTCCCCCTGCCACTCCCTGCTCCCTGCCTATTGGTGAGGTCCCCACTGCAGGACCCCGGGCTCTCCTGTGTGCCCACCATGCTCCAGCGTGGCCAGAGCCTCAGTATTGGGGGCAGGCTCCTGGGAGCCTGGGGCCCTCGGGCCATCCCCCCAACGCCTTTCTTTGCCACAGTCCTTCAGCCCTGCGAGGGACCTGCCTGACAGCAGCTTGATCCAGGGCGCGGCCCATGCCATCGTGGCCGCCATCACCCAGCGGGGGAACGGCTCACTGCTCCTGGCTGTCACCGAGGTCAAGGTGGAGACAGTCGTTATGGGTGGCTCTTCCACAGGTAAGCACGGGAGGTGGGCCCCTGGGAAGGTGCCAGGCGGGCAACTCAGGCATTGGCATAGAGCCGGCCGATCCTGCCAGCCACCAGGAACACAGAAGTCCCTGGCACCTGCTGCCCCAACTGCCCAGCCCCACAACCCAACCTTCCTAGCCCCCGTCCTGGGACCCTCCCCACAAGCCAGGAACCAGCGGGTGGGGCCTGGCCGCCTGGCCAGCAGGGCCCTCCCAGGCCTGGATGTGTGTGGCTAGTGCCTTGCAGGCACCCAGGCCTTAGTGCCTACTGGCTCTTCTCCCCGGTCCCCAGGTCTGCTGGTGCCCGTGCTGTGTGGTGCCTTCAGCGTGCTGTGGCTGGCGTGCGTGGTCCTGTGCGTGTGGTGGACACGCAAGCGCAGGAAAGAGCGGGAGAGGAGCCGGCTGCCGCGGGAGGAGAGCACCAACAACCAGTGGGCCCCGCTCAACCCCATCCGCAACCCCATCGAACGGCCGGGGGGCGGCCCGTGGGGCGGCGGGGGCCACAAGGACGTGCTCTACCAGTGCAAGAACTTCACGCCGCCGCCGCGCAGGGCAGACGAGGCGCTGCCCGGGCCTGCCGGCCACGTGGGCGTCAGGGAGGACGAGGAGGACGAGGATCTAGGCCGCGGTGAGGAGGACTCCCTGGAGGCGGAGAAGTTCCTCTCGCACAAATTCACCAAAGATCCTGGCCGCTCGCCGGGGAGGCCGGCCCACTGGGCCTCGGGCCCCAAAGTGGACAACCGCGCGGTCAGGAGCATCAATGAGGCCCGCTACACTGGCAAGGAGTAGGGGCGGCCGCCAGCTGGACCGGGACCCAGGGCCCTCGGTGGGAGCCATGCCGTCTGCTGGACCTGGAGGCCAAGGCCATGTGCATAGTTTCTTTATTTTGTGTAAAAAAACCACCAAAAACAAAAAACAAATGTTTATTTTCTACGTTTCTTTAACCTTGTATAAATTATTCAGTAACTGTCAGGCCGAAAACAATGGAGTATTCTCGGATAGTTGCTATTTTTGTAAAGTTTCCGTGCGTGGCACTCGCTGTACGGCAGGAGAGAGCAAAGGGTGTCTGCGTCCTCACCAAATCGTAGCGTTTGTTACCAGAGGTTGTGCACTGTTTACAGAATCTTCCTTTTATTCCTCACTCGGGTTTCTCTGTGGCTCCAGGCCAAAGTGCCGGTGAGACCCATGGCTGTGTTGGTGTGGCCCATGGCTGTCGGTGGGACCCGTGGCTGATGGTGTGGCCTGTGGCTGTCGGTGGGACTCGTGGCTGTCAGTGGGACCCGTGGCTGTTGGTGGGACCTACGGTGGTCGGTGGGACCCTGGTTATTGATGCGGCCCCGGCCGCCGGCACGGCCCGTGGCTGTTGGCACACCTGTGGTTGTTAGTGGGGCCTGAGGTCATCGGCGTGGCCTGAGGCCGGCAGGTCGACCTCGAGCTTGCTGGCCAGTCCGCCCCGCCTGCCGTCTGTGCTTCCTCCTGCCCAGAACGCCCGCTCCAGCGATCTCTCCACTGTGCTTTCAGAAGTGCCCTTCCTGCTGCGCAGTTCTCCCCTCCTGGGACGGCGGCAGTATTGAAGCTTGTGACAAGTGCCTTCACACAGACCCCTCGCAACTGTCCACGCGTGCCGTGGCACCAGGCGCTGCCCACCTGCCGGCCCCGGCCGCCCCTCCTCGTGAAAGTGCATTTTTGTAAATGTGTACATATTAAAGGAAGCACTCTGTATATTTGATTTAATAACGTCAACATTCCAGCCTCCCTTGTTCTTTGGGTGCTGTTCCTTTTGCATTTAGAGTCAGACTGGGGGAGAACCGCGCCGGCAGAGAGGCGTGAGGCAGTGGGGCATGTGCGGGGTGTTGGCCCACATGGCTGTGGTGGCTGCGGAGGGTGAGACGGTCCTGCTGAGTCAGGGCCTGCCAGGGCCTCGAACGCATTGCCAAGTTGGTGGATGCAGGTTTGGCCAAAACCATTCTGGGAATGGGGAGGGGGGTGTCTAGGTGCCTGGCACCTGACCCTGACTACAAACAGCTGAAAACAGTTTTATAAAATAGTATAAAATTGCTTACCCACGAATACCTATCAAAGTCTTAAAGAATTAACAGTTCAAAATTTTTATTCATTCATTTATTCCTTTGTTTTGCTTGTTCATTCAGAGGCAAGGTCAGCATTTGAGAGACTGGAGGCAGGAGAGAAGCAGCCCTTCCACCTGGCCCTGGAGCTGGTTTTGCCTCTCACTGCTTGAGCCAACTGGAACATGGCATGGTGGCCTCAGGGCTGGGCATGGAAGGCCGACTCCAAGGCTGACTCCGAGCCGTCTGTCAGTGACGTGCAAGTCTTTAACCTGCTGTGAGGGGCAGGAGGTCAACTGAGTCAAGGAGCAAAGCCAAGAACCAGATCTGTACAAAAAAGAAGAAAAAAGTCCTGCCAACAGCCTGGAAGTGAGGCTGCCTTGCAGAGGCAGAACAAATGAATAAATGAATGAATGAATAAAAATTTTGACCTGGTAATTCCTTAAGACCTGCTGGTTGCTGCAGAAGTGACTCTGGATGTTGAGCACTGCTGCTAGGGACTCCAGGAAGCTGTGCAAATGAGCTATGGTGTGCACTCCAGGGGCAGTCTCTCTCACTCCGGCTGGAGTCCTCCCATCAGCTCCACCACCGTATTGAGCCAGGTCTGCAGGGACACACAGAGGAGCTGGTAGGAGACCCTGCTTGCCATCGGCTGCTCACAAGCCCAAGGCTTGTGCCATCAGGGTGAGGGCAGGGGTTAAACCCGCCTCCTGCCTTGGCCCCAAGGAGTTGGCCAGGCAGTTCAGGCAGAAGGCCAGCCCCTGAGGAGTCATGTACACCATGACTCGTGTGGACATGAAGCCCATGTTCCCACCACCAGGTTGGCCAAAAAGACGGCAAGCTTTGCGTTTCCTTTTAAACGGCGTTTACCTAACTTGCAGTTCCCTAGGTTCCTGGTGGAACCAAATGCAAATCACCTTTGTCATAGACCTCTGTACGCCTCATGAATGATTTTTCAAGGTCAGTGAGTAGACCACAATCAAACCAAGCACACGGGAACCTGGCACCATGATTGAAATGCGTGCAGAGGCATCTGAGTATACTGGAATTCTCAGACATGGATTGTAAAAAGCTTGCTGTGCTCAAAGACAGCTTGGAAAAGCTGATAGGCCAAACAAACTTCAACCTAGCACCAAGTAGAACTTCTGGAAATGAAAAAAAAATACAATCTTTAAACACTCCAGAAGTAGTTTGGCAGCCACTCTTAGACACTGCTAAAGAGAGAATTTGTGAACTAGAAGATAAGTGAGAAGAAATGATCCAGGCTACCCGCCAGGACAAGAGATAGAAAATAACATCAGCAGCTGAGGAGGGGGCCCCAGGCAAGGGCCTGGCAGGGGCTGTCCTGAGACCCATGGGAGCCCATCAGGCATGGAGTGAGCAGTGAGTAGGTGTGGCAGGTATAGCAGGTGTCATGGGTGGGGCTGGGTTGCCTAGTTACTTCTGCAGGAAGTGTCCCACAGACCTGCACCTCCCTGGCTGTGCCAATGTGTTCCCCCAATTCTGGGGAAGCCCCTGTAACCTCGGGGAGATGCATCTGGCTTGGAATCTCACAGGACGTAGACTGGCCTCTGTGCCTGTGTAAGGGTGTGCGGCTGTTGGAGGGGTGGCACTCAGGGATCAGCATGCACCAAGTGTGCATGGGTTGAGCTGAGAGCCTCTGCCGTTGCCTGCATGTGTCCATGGTGGGCAGGCCTGCCACCCCAACCCCAAGCTTGTTGTCCAGTGTCCTGAGCCCACTGGGAGTTCATGGCCTCCCTCCACCCGATACTCAGTCATAAACCACCACTTGGGTGACCTTGCACCTAAGGCCTGGCTGGTGCCTGGCCATAGCCAGCCCATATGGATGGCAGCACCAAGAGGTCCAGGCCCGGCCAGCAAGCTTACTGCTTGCTGTCTCACGCCATGCCAGGGTGGATGATGGGGCTCTTCTTCATCTCAGTGCTACCACCCCCATGGTGTGGTCATAAGCCAGGCTGGGTTCTGGCCCAACCCCCTGGGGTGAGCCTGGCAGTCCACTCCTTCGGACCCTAGGCCACCTCCACGCCTCCCGAATGCCACTCACCTGCCTCACGGAGTCCACTATGCAGAGGCCAGGGTCCACAAGTGAGGGTTAGGCCCCAGGGTCCATCCTGCTGCCACCAAAGCCTTGTTCCCTTGTGGGTGGGTGGGTGGAGTGGCTGCCTCCAGAGAGGGTGCTGTGTGGTCTGCAAATCTAGCGAAGGAAGGCAGGCTCCCTGGCACCCCCAGGCTGGTGCCAGGCTCCTGGGGCCCCTCTGGCTGTGGCTGCAGGAACCCTGGTGGCCACCCCCGCTCTGGCCGCTGGGCTTGGGACCTGTGCCACTCCTGTTTGCCCCTCAGGACACGCAGGCATGCCCTGCCACCCATCCTGGCTGCCGAGTTCCTGGAGCCCGTTGTGTCCTGCCCTGCCATGAAGCGGGGACCCCCGACAGCGAGTCTCCCGCTGCCTCCACTCTTTTTGCTCTTCCTGTTGACAAGTCTGGGGTTCTGACCCGCTGTGCAGAGGGAGAGCTCCTCTGTCACTGGGGCATATGTCACCAAAATGAGCACCTGGGCCTCCCCAAGCCTGGTGGGCAGTGAGCTTGGGGGACACCAGGCTCTGAGGCATGTGCCGGGGACGGTGGGGACGGGCTGGACACAGGGCCTGTTCCCCACACTTTGGAGCTGCTCCCAGCTGGGCCCAGAGGCTACATGGCTGTTGGCTGTGTGGCTCGAATGGGAAAGGTCTGGATGCAGAGGGAACTCTGAGGTGACCACTGCGGCCCCAGGAGGGTGCCTGGCTGAGGAGGCCCTGGGCAGCAGGCGCTCACTCAGGCAGAGGATACAGGGACCCACACCACCATCCCTGCCACGACTTTCCAGGCAGAGTGACCTGTGCACAGAGGCCAACCTGCAAGCTAGATGGTGTGGGCGGGGCCCCATGCGCACATGCCTTGGAGACTTCCGCCTCCCTGGGCCATCCTCTCCCACCTCTTCTCATTCCCACACCGTCAGAGCAGGGAGCAATGAGTCGGCCCTGCCTAGCCTGGCTCGAGAGGTGCGTCCTGACTGTGCCGTCTGACCCAGCCTGGGACCAAGTCATGGCAGGGGCCTGCTGTGGGTGCAGAGCCCCTCTCAGGTGGTGAAGCAGCACCTCCCGCACCCACTGCTGCCAGGGCCGCCTGCTGCGTCCTTGGTGTTCGGCTGCTGGGACTGCGCCTGCTGGTTCTGCTTGGCAACAGCTCTGACTGCCGCATCTCTGAAGAAACCGGGCCCCAGGGTGCAGAGAGGAGGTTCCACACAGGAGCCTGGTCCCTGCGGTGGCCAGACCCATTAACCCCTGCAGGCCAGGCAGCAGCAGCCGGCTGGTATGGGCCTCATGGTGGCCACAGGCCCAACTCCAACTGTCCCAAGACCCAGCAGGGCTCACCCCTTCCCCATCAGACCCCCAGACCCAGGGTCTTCCAAGGAGCCCCTGAGGTCAACAGGGACTTGTTAGGTCTCAGATGGAGAGCATCTGGATGCCAGGGCTTGAAGACCTTTATACAAAAGGGGAAACTGAGGCCCAGGAGGAAGGGACCTGCCCTGTGACATTCTTCATGGCTCCCCAGCCCAGGTGGATTCAGGGGCTAGGATTTGAGTCTTGGGGTGGCGTTCTGAGAGTAGGGCAGCCAGCAGGAGGCACGGAGCCACGGGAGGGCTTGCTGGGGACAGTGGTGTCAGTGCGGCTCTGGGCCAGGGGGCTGGGGTGGCAGCTGGGCGGCACCGGGGGCTTCTCCTCTGGGTAGACAGGTGCTGTGGAGCATCTGTAGGGGCAGAGGCAGGGGCCCTAGGAAGCTCACTCTAGGCTAGAAGGTGTGGCCTGTGGGGTCACCTGTTCAGCTGCAATATTGTTATCCTGCTGTTGATCTGGGAACCAGGAAGTGTCTGCTTGAAAGCCTTCTGTGGAGGAAGGAAGCCCAAACTGTAAGGAGGATTCTAGAAGCACGGAGGAGGCTGGAAAAGGCTGCTGAGAGGCCTCCGGGGCTGCAGCGTCCTTGCTCTGGTGGAATGGCCAGGTGGCTTCCTTGTGCATCACAGGTTTGGGGTGGCCCAAGGGGAAGGGGGTCTGACCCCGAGGGCTGGCAAGGACACACTCATCAACCGTGGGCAGGAGACAGGTCCTGGGAGAGCGCCCAGGCCATGGGACGTGTCCACTCAGGCAGGAGGCCTCTCACCGGGCAGGGCTGGGCAGCCTCCCCCACGGTGGCCAGGATCACCCCCGGGCCCCTCAGCCCTCATCCCACATGTTGCCATTTCCACAGCTGGATCCAGTCCCCCCACTCAGCACCCCGTCCCGCCCCTGCCTTCCACTCCTACAGGCCTCTGAAGGCCAGGACCGCCCTGCCACCCCGCCAGACCGCAACAGCCCTGAGGGGCTCGGTAGCCAGAGATAGGCCCTGCCTGGACGCACAGCGCGGAGCTGCAGAGGAGGGGCCAGGCGCCTCATCATCAAAGATGCTCATTTGACGTGATCAAAGTGCGGCACAAAATGGCTTTCCAGAGCTAGAGCCCTGAGGTCCCAATGAGCAATTGGGCAGCAAAGCAGAAGAACGGCGCGGCGGGGAGCTGGTGCCGAGACTCACACGAGGCCTGGAGCCGGAGACGGGGAAAGGAAACTCGGGGCACAGCCTCTGAGTCCCAGGAGCTGCAGAGGGAGAGGGAGGGACGGACGGAGGTGAGAACATTATATGAAAGAGAGCATTTCTCTGAGCTAAGTAGAGACCCCAGCCCGCAGACCGAGGGGCCCACCGGCTTCAGGCTGGAAACCTGGTGCCACGGCAAGGCCTGGGGAAAAGGAAACCTTCCGAAGCCACAGGCAGACGCCCCGCCAACGGGGAAAGAGAATGGACTGTGTGGTGAGCTAGAGCAGCGAGCCCCGCAGAACGAGGCCCCCTGCCTGGCTGTGGTCCGCGGGCTGGGGGCGGGTGTGCAGACCCTGCAGAAGGAAGGCACAAGCACCAGTCCCTTGGGAAGGCGCCTGGCAAAGCCACTAGTTTCCAATGCAGGTGCCCTTGGGTGCAGCAACCTACAGCGCCAGCCGTGAGGGTCCCAGGCCTAGGAGGGCGCAACTGCACAGCCACGCGTGGCATGGACCAGGCACCAGACAAGGCCACCACGGGAGAGGCCACTGGGGAGGCCACCGGGCTGCCGGGCCTCGCAGGGCAGTGTGCAGATTCATGGAGCAAGCACACTGCGGCAGATTGCTGAGATGCTGCCACTTTCGGGAGGAGCTGGAAAGGAGGAATTCAGAAACAAGCCACCGTACGATATGATCTGTGCTTGTTTTTTTGTTTTTTTGTTTTTTTGTTTTTTTTTTTTGACAAGGTCTCACTCTGTCACCCAGGCTTGAGGGCAGTGGCACAATCATAGCCCACTTCAGCC